AACACACACAATAGGTAAAGCTGCATAAATTCCAAGTCTTGTTTTGCTGAGCTGTACCCTTGTCAACTAATTCTCACTTCTTTATGAGTGACTTCACTTTGCCATAGTGTTTATGGTTAACTTCCAAAAACGATTAATTTTAAATATTGATTTTGAAATCCCTAGATTGGAGGCATTTACCATCGTATACAGAATATATGCATGGTAAACATCTTCGGTATCATTCTATGTATTGCTGAAATCACTTCTGTATTTCCTGAGCCTTTCCCCCACTTCCAAACTGTTATTTCTTTTACTAATATTTATGCACACTATGAATTTTAGCTTTATCCCTTCTTTTACAGTTAGTTATTGATTCATGCATTTCTGTCAATTCCTGTATATATTGCCAGCCTTTTTAGTTAAACTGCTTATGAATCTCTGTCCACTTTTGGTAGTTTCATCTGAGATGTTGCTTGTTACTTGTCTCTGGGATTTACTAGTGATACTTACTATGTACTCTACTTCCTACGTGAAAATTTACTCCTAATATCATGCTTTATGAATGTCATGTGCTGTCTGATAGCAGAAATCTCTAGTCACAAGTCCTCAGTATTGATGAGCTGACTCCCCGTTTTCTATTGTAGCTTCCACCCTCTTATGAATGATGATCTTGATTTACCAATCTTCAATAACGTATTTTGATGTCAGCTAATTGTTCCCAAGTCAGTTGTTGTCTACTAGTCAGTTTCTTGCAGTAACTATGCTTATCTTAAAAAAAAGAATGCTCATCTTAGTCCTCGACCCAGATGGAAATTAGTTAATATTTTATTTTATTTTTAGTTGATTTCTACGCCCCTTGGGCAAGATACTTCAAATTTTATGAAACAAAGTTATGCATTCTACTTACATTTCCATGTATTAGATCACAGTGTTTTTCTCAATTCTATGCCCACTTAGGAACATTAGGCAAACCCATTTCCTCTTCAACATGTCCCGTCTACCCTTACCTATTTGTATTACTGTCCTGCTCTCTGCCTCTGTGACCTATGTAGGATATTTTTGCTCTATGGACCTGTTGGGCTAATGCCAACACAGCTTAGTTTCATATGGCTTTCTTCTTCTTCTCAGGTAAAAGGGCATTCATTGCTGGAGTGGCTGATGACAATGGCTATGGTTGGGCCATTGCTAAGGCTCTTGCTGCTGCAGGTGCTGAGATTCTTGTTGGTACTTGGGTGCCAGTATGTGACCTACACTCATACACTTTTCTTGACACAAAAATATTATTTGTATTTGAGTTTTAATCATAAAACTTTTCCTTTTGCAGGCATTGAAGATATTTGAGACTAGTCTCAGACGTGGAAAATTCGACGAGTCACGTCTGTATGTATTTATACCTTAGACTTAATCATACTGTACTTTAATAGCAAGGTTGCCTCCTCTATTAAATGGATGTCTTATAAGTTTGGTATTGACTTTGCACTATTAGATACTTAATGCCTCCATTCTAAAAATGACAGGTTACCAGATGGTTCTCTTATGGAGATCACCAAAGTTTACCCTTTAGATGCAGTGTATGATACTCCTGAAGATGTTCCTGAAGATGTGAGACGTTTATTTCCTTTTTTATGTTCTGGTCTCTTTTCTGCATAGTTCTTTTGGAAGGTGCTCGCTTGCTAATGAGGTGCATCTTTTACAGGTTAAAACAAATAAAAGATATGCAAGTTCCTCAAATTGGACTGTGAAGGTAAAATGCTATATCCTTTTATATATTTCATGAATAATACGACTATATACTTGGAGATTAACCAGACCGTGGGCATGTAGCTAAGTTTAAGTTTTTTTAGTCACAGTAAAACATGCGTAATCCCTCATTATACAGTGTATGATAAAGGAGCCACATTAGATTGAATCTAAGTATGCACCTTCAAAATTAGATTATACACAATCAATTTACTTGATCCACTCCGTTCATTTTGATCTATATGATTCGGATGACATGTAAATCAAAAATTAGCATATTGGGTTGTATTTACTAATGCATCAAGTGATAGTAAAATTAATGGTTTTATGACAACACAATCAAAGAGACAATGAAAAATATGTGTTAGAAATATTCAATTATCATGATTTTTATTTTGTAGATGTTTTAAGACATTTAGATCATGATGAATGGAACAAATCATCCATTGAAATAGCGCAGATTTAGTATAATTGAGAGGCCGTGCATTCTTAGATTCAATCTAGAGGTGCTCATTAAAATCATATTTCCCAGGGATATATATATATAGTATATAATATAGTATATATAATATATATATATATATAATATATATATATATATATATATTATATATATATATATATATAATAGTCAATTGCATTTTCTGCTTCTGATACTCTGTAAACTTTGACAATAGGAAGTTGCAGAATCTGTCAAGAATGATTTTGGAACTATTGACATTCTTGTGCATTCACTTGCAAATGGACCAGAGGTGCAGTTTCTTTTGCTTTTTTTTTTCTTTCCCTCCTTTTTTCTAATTTGTTTAATTTGATGATTGATTATGTTTCCTTGTAAGCAGGTTACAAAACATCTCCTGGAAACTTCAAGAAAGGGATACCTTGCTGCCATATCTGCGTCAAGTTACTCTTTTGTATCTCTCCTGCAAAATTTTCTTCCTATCATGAATCCAGGTGCTCTTGCCATGCAATATTTGTGTTCATCTTTTTTTCAATTTCAGTTTGTCCAGTTTAAACTTGGGTTTATTCTGTTAAAAAATGATTGTAAATTCTTAAGACCATAATTAAAAGAAATTCATAAATCTTAAGACCATAATTAAAAGACATTCATAAATAAGGAAATGTCAAATACAAAAACATTAATGCAAAAAAGAGTGCATTTACATCCTTAATAGAAAATTTGTTTAGATACTGCTGTATAACTGCATTAATATAGAAGTAATTCAGTAAGCAGCTAGCAGATCCTACTATTGAGAAATAAAAAATATAATACCTAATATACATGCTTTTACGAAATAGGTCCATAAATAAACTGCATGCCTCTTACTAAATGATCATCTTTCAAATGCCTACAGTGTAAATTCAGAATTTATGTCATAGAATTCAGCATACACAAAATTGAGATACTTTGTACTAGTGAATTTTATAGTTGAACATACTGTTCACAGTCAAATCAAATCATCAAACAGGTTAGCAGGCAGGTAAAGTTTATTACTGTTAGTATATCCAGAAAATGTTATATCTAGAAAGTTCTTTATAGTTGTACAATTAGAATTTCTTATGTAATTAGGATTTGGATAGCTAGCTGAGGAGACATAAATTAACTTTCTATTCTATTATAAAGAAAGGTAGAGAGAAGATATAAATTAACTCTCTAATCTTTCTAATTCTCTCATTTCAACATGGTATCAGAACCACTTAAACCCTAACCTTTTTCCTTTCTAAACCCTAAATTTCCTCTGCCCGTGATCACACTCCGCCTTTTTAACCCTAGGGACAACTTTTCTTTTTCATCCTTAATCTCAGGGTTGTCGAGGTGTTTTGCCACAAGCACCAATCTCTCAGCTTTTCCTTGGGTGGCTTTGACATCACAAACAATTCCCTTTTCATCTATATCACAAATCACTAATCCGTAAATCATAAAACCCCTCCCCTTAAAAAAAAGTCTATAACCTTAATGCCTTAATCACTACCAACTTCTCGTGCAATCCCAGGGTGTTCTTTGACAAGACAATTTGAGGCATTGATGCCGGCTGAATCATGATGATTTTGTTTGCCAACGTGGTTCCCCGCACTACTGAGAACATTCATGTACTTTGCACTGTCTAGGATGTTGGCTGCTCCAACAACTCCCTCTACATCGAGCATGACTCTTATAGCCTACAAAAGTGTGATGAAAACCGCACGATCTGTGATGGCACTAGTGGTGGTGCAAGATCTCTCCTTTTCAACATACAGAACTGTGCTCTAATCCAATGCATGACTACAATATGCTATATCTGGAATTGAGTATTTCTAGGTAAAAGGACAAGGTAAAAGTCTGAGAAAATGAGTTCCATCTTTGGGAAACTTGTAGAATTATGTATAGCATTTTTATGAAGTTTTGAGAGAAGAACGAAGTGAGGGAACTCGAGATATTGTTAAGCTTTCTATGAGCAGCAGCGGGTGTCGATGTTATCATAGGTGGATTGGACAAATGTAGATACGACTAGAAGTAAAAAGGCCTAAAATGTCGTAACCTAAAGGGAAACGCCAATTCAACAAACCTTTTGATACAATCAAATAGATCACTATAAGGGCTTCATATTCTAGGAGCCCGAACTATGTGATTGAATAAATCTTACTCTATTTGTTTCGAGTCGAGGGCCCCTTCCCTTTCTTCAAACTCCGACCCATAGAAAATGATCCATTTTGCATCATATACAACAGATTCCTTGGTTTCGGACCGAAGAAGTAATGTCACTTGATTAATATCTAATTGGATGTCGATGTTACTATCTTTGTAGGGGATGAAGGTAGTAAGAATTAAAAGTGAAAAGGGCTTGTTTAAGGAAGCTTTGAACTTGCCAAGAGACGTCTTGATTATGTTGGTGATGACTCATGATGGGCTCTATTCTTTTAAGATTTGCTTTCATTGTGTGTTTAGTTCTGGGAGAATTGATGGGCTTGTGTTATTTTCTGCAATCTCAAAGCTTGGTGAGTTTGAGGCTTTGGGTCTTATGAGATATTTCTTGAAGTGGTTGGTATAGTGTGAGAGATTTTCATAGATTACGGCTTGCCATTTGGTTAGAACAGTTTTGAGATTGAGCATTTGTGAGAGTATACCGATGCACGAGGGGGTTATGAAGGGATTGAAATAGGTTTTGGACAATCATACTCTTATATGGTAATGAATGCTTAATACTGGGTTCCATGATGAGTTATGGAAGGTTCAAACTGTCATGGGATTGTTGGTTTCTAAAGCAAACTTGCGATTTTCCATGGATGATGTATTAAGCATTTAAAAGATGCACAAGAGGAGAGGATCGTTTGCTTGGTTGATGAAAGGAGAGGATCGTTTGATTGGCTGATTTGATGTGGATCGTTTGTTTGTAGATCCCTATAGAGGATTGTTCATTTGGTAGATCCTATATTACCTGTGTACTTCTAAACTGAAGCCGTACCCGTACCCGACCCATACTCGTACCCAAACTCCTTAGACACTCCTTGCATATGTGCATTCATTTATTCGGGCATGTATTCAATTATACAATATATATTTTAATTTAAAACACTTGATATGTATTTTTTGGACATATATTCTATGATTCACATCCACTTCTTGAAACTTGTTAGACATAGGTTAGGTTCCGAGTTATGATTTTGAAGGACTGTTTGGATGTCTAGTATAAAAACTAGTGATTTTCTAGTTTATAATCTATGATAAAAGAAACACAAAATTATCGTAGGAATTATACTTACCATCCTTGTTCCCATATAAATTATTAGTTCTAATATATAATATATGTGTATACAAATATTTATATAGCCGTGTCCCTGTACCCTAACTTTTACAAATTTGTCGTGCCCCGCACCCTTACCCGTACCTATACCCATGCAACATAGGGTAGATTCCTAAAAGATATCATTTAATTGGTGGATCCAATAAAGAGGATCGTTTGTTTGGTGGTTTCCATAGGAGGATCATTTGTTTGGTGAATCTGAAGAGGATCGGTTCTTTTGCAGATCACCAACAAAAAAAAATCTTAGTATTTTGTGAGAATCTTTTTCTTTAAAATTCTATAGCAGCGATTATTTGGGAGAGATCAGTTTTACTTGTCCAAGGGAGAGACCGAGAGAGACAAGAGGAGATCAAGTTGTTGCATTTGATGATTTTGGTAGAGATGGTGATTGTGGTAGAGCAAGATTTTTTTTCTTTAAGGCAAAGGTAGTGGAGGATATTCAAGTGGAAGATTAGAAAATTAAGACTACCGCAAAGAGAAGTTCAAAAGCAGAATATTTTGAGCTTTTTGAGTCTTGCCATAAATTAGTGTGTATGCATTTGAATTGTAACAAATTGGACATATACGATATACATGCTCTAGATTAAGGTTTGTTATGAGAGAACTTAGTTTATTCAAAAGGATGATATATGAAGGATTTAGATTGGTCTTCCTATATAAATATATATAGGTAGAGGTGAAAGGTAAAAATTAACTTTCTAATCTCTCTAATTCTCTGATTTCAACAATTTCAACTATATAACCAGATGAATGTTTTACTATATGATACACTGCAGGGGGTGCATCCATCTCCTTGACATATATTGCTTCTGAAAGGACCATTCCTGGGTACTGTATTTCTCCATCTATTGCAGTAGAAACCAAGTTCAGGCACTGAAGAATCACTGTAGCCTAACATTGGAAACTATTTGTGTAGGTATGGTGGAGGCATGAGCTCCGCCAAAGCAGCATTGGAGAGTGATACCAGAGTAATTCTCTCCCTTGGGTACTTCCTTCGTTTCTATTTGTGTTGATTTTCTTATACAAACTATATTGCCTTATATTCTTTTGTCATCAGGTCCTAGCTTTTGAAGCTGGAAGGGTACGCAAAATTAGGGTTAATACGATTTCTGCAGGTATGGTTGTCTGTTTTTACACAAGTTGTAACTTATAGCAGTAAATCAGTAAGGCTTAGGGAGGATGTTGTGAGTATCAAATGGACTTCTTGCTCTCTAGAGCTGTCTAAATTAAAGTTGGATCGCATTTTGAGCTTGGGGCTGAACTGTTTAATGAAACTCAGCCCAAGTCACCCAACGTGCAAGATATCCCATAGGACCCTGGCCTAATTTTTTTGTAAACTGTATTATTATCGTGAGGACTTCATTGAGCACAATACATCTGAACTTTCTCAATGGTTAGTTATTTGATCAGGTTCTCTAACTTAAATTTGCAGGTCCACTCGGGAGTAGAGCAGCAAAAGCCATTGGATTCATCGAGAAGATGATAAATTACTCTTACACCAATGCACCGTTGCAGAAAGAACTGTCAGCAGGTGAGATCAAATAAATTATGCCAATCCTCCTTATTATAATTTTTCAGACAACATACTTATTTCTTATCTGGGAGACAAAACTTGTTATGTACAGATGAAGTTGGGAACGCTGCAGCATTCTTGGTGTCACCATTGGCTTCAGCAGTAACTGGCTCTGTAGTGTACGTGGACAATGGGTTAAACACAATGGGTCTTGCTTGCGATAGCCCTTCACTTTCCATATAAGATCGGCAATGGAGCTCCAATTAAAGAACCTACTTGTGTTTCTCTCATTTTCGATTTCCATTTTAACGGGGTTTTTCTTCATTAATAACGAGTTTGAGACTTTGCAAAATTTAGATTGGTGACAATGGAGGAGACAGGTTCTTTGTTGAATTTTGGCAGGAACGCATGAAGTTTGTTATAAATTTGTAGTGAACTTTCCTCTTGGTTAATGCTTACTGTTGTATCGTTATTCAGAATTGTAGTTACTATGCACTTCATGGTCGCAGTTATAGTTTTGTTCTAATTTCCGATGTCAGGAGCCTGCACACTTGGTGGCTAATAAATGTGATGGAAAAATGGTAATCAGTTACAGCAGGGAGATGCACATGCTACTCAGTCATAGTTGCATAAACCTTTATATTGTCGGGTGACTGCTAAGCAAAATCGTGCGCACACATTGCAGTTTGCAGAAGGTAAAGAGTGAATCAAACCTCGATACGAATTTGTGTTATTCCGGAGACCCTTTCTCACCAAGAGAAAATCTCGAAGTTGTTCAAATTTCACTTCCCATTTTTCCGATTTAGACTGAAGTGGAAGCAGAACTTCATCCCGTTGATGCTAGGCTTCGCCCAAGCGTCCCCCCAACTTTTTCGAAAGAGCTTTAGAGAGAGATTTTGGTTTTTCCGCACCCGCAAGCCCAGCCCAAGCCTTTCAGTTTTGGCCGTTGTATTTTCCTGATGAATTCTGTATTACGAAAAAAATATTCGGATATTTGATGAATTCATACTTACTTCGGTTCATTTCAAAATGTCCTCCTCTCTTTGAAACAAGGGGCACTTCCGGTTTTGTGCGTGCTTCAAACAATTTTGTCTCCCCGCCTAAAAGGGAAGATTCGCCCCCGCCTTTTCTCTAAGCTTCTCTGATTCCATTGACATGAATGAAGCCGTAGCAGGGCGCTTGCTGTTAACTTGGTCTAACCGGCGACCATAAGAGAAACGTAGCTGACAAGCAGCGGTCTTGAAAGATTTTCCCACACTTGGGAACTACTAGTCTTTAGCCAATTGTACGAGTTATGTCACTAATATGAACATTGCACGTGAAAATTTATTTTGGAGATAGCAATTCATATGTCAAGAAATATAACCACAATTACTTTTATCTTTATTTACTTTTACTTCTTAAGATATAAAAGGAATGAAAAATTATTTAAGGACCCAAAATATGGGACCAATAAAGGGGACAAGTGAGATGTTCCCCTCCTATTGGATAATGAATTGATCATCATTAATGATGGCCAACTCATTATCTAATAGGAGGGGGACACCTCACTTGTCCCCTTTATTGATCTCATATTTTGGGTCCCTGTAGCAAAGCTCGTGTATAAATGTAAATTATATTGTGTAAATATGAACAACGTGCACGGCTAAAATGAAGTGCCAAAATATCTAGCAAACTAATAGAATAGTCCCGCAATATCCGATACCAATGGTTTAAAATTCAAATTTAGCCCCTAAATCAATAAAGATAGGGTTTTGGCAACGAGTACTCCTGGGGCACTTGTTAAGAATCATTAATTAGTCCCTCAACAAACTCCACTGGCCTTGGTATTGGAAAAATTTATGGCTAAAATGTATGAGATAATAAATGCAATGTGCTTAGGTGGGACTTGAACCCAAGAAGCTCACAACATTTTTAGAAGGGCTTATCCTCTCAAATTGGGCTTATCGTCTCACAGTGAGTGATTATTACGGAGTCAACATGATCTCCTTGCATCAGTTGTCAGAGCCGAGCATGTTGAGCCTTACAAATAGATGATTGACCAACATGAACTCCATTTTCTTGAGTTACAACATCTTCACGAGGTTAATGTCAATGTTGTTATAGAGCTTGAGTTCCATTGTCCTACGGCAGAATGTCGTAAGCTCAAAGAGGCTGCTCGCAGGGAGGTGGAGGAAGTTAATTTATGGCTTCAGGAACTAACCACCCGTCTTACTGAGATTGATGGTGAAAATATAGAGCTTACTAGCGTGATCTTTGAGATGAAAGCCACCATCAATGGGGCTAAGGCTATCATCGCCGAGACGCAAGCTAAGTTGGAAGTGGCCCAAAAGCAAAAAGAAGAGTTTGAAGCTAAACCTGATGAATTGTTTTGTTAGACCCTAGAGGGGGGTGATTAGGGTGTTATGCTAATCTAATCCGATTTAATACCAATTAAAACTTATTAAAAAGTTATCCTAGCAAGTATGAAATACAACAAGATATATGAGCTAGGATAAGCAATACGAACAACAAGAAATATCCTAGCAATGAGATATAAGCAATATATGTGTAAGGATATATAAACTAACACAAAGGTGATATAATCAAACTACAAATGTGATAGTGCAAAATAAACAATGCAAACACACAATATGATCACGGAGTTCGGACCTTCCGTCCTACGTCTCCGCTCCCCACTCCCGGGGAGAAATCCACTATCATAACCGGGTTTTCTACGTTCACCCGAATAACGTTTACACCTCACACTCGGTTTTCTAGCTAACCGAAAACTTTACAATCACCACTCTTGCAATCCCACTCTACACCCTCTCAAGTGTTGAACTAGACGTGTCTCCCTCAAGTGCTCGGTTACAACCTCTCCCTAGGTTCGTCAACATACGCCACTCCTCTTGGGACGATCCCCGACTCTCGCCACACACTTCTCTCGGTGTACAAGTGTATTACAAAGTGATTCTCACAATTAGGCTCAATACAATAAATGTTTGTTCTCTACTATGGATGAGAACACAATAAAAGCTCACAATCAATTGTTACAACTCTCACAACCCTAAATATATTATGAATACAAATACAATAAGCTCAAGTGGGTGTGTGTAACAATGAGATAAAATCAAATCTAACTCAAATAGCAAACTAGCAATAATAAGAATATGAAAATCAATAATAAAATTGCTTGAGAAAAGAGTTAGAAAACTTCTCAATAGATCAAGAGGTAGAGGGAGAATAGTTGGAAGCTCAAACTTCAATAGATGATCTCCTCAAGCTCTTGTGGAATTGATTCACAAAACCAAAACACTCAAATGCTTAAAAGCTTATAAACACACTTAAACCAAACATAAACCCTTGTTAAGACTTTCTTAAACTTGTTTTAAAACTCTCTCAATTGTTGATAGAGAGCTGAAGGCAATGGGGTATTTATACCCACTCAAAAGTTCAGCAAAAACCCCACTAAAAAGACAACAAAGCCCCCAGAAAAACAGCTCAGAAAATAGTCGTTGGAGTCCAACGGTCAAATCGGCGGTCGATCGCGACGGTCGACCACGAAGAACAAAAAGCAGAAAAAACTATTCTGGAAGGCTGACAGTCGACCGTGAAATTTTTGCTGTCGACCGCGAGACACTTTTGAATCTCACAAAACTCCAGAGACTTTGGCGGTCGACCGTCACGGTCGACCGCGAGAAAAAAAATCAAAAAACTACACTCTGGACTACATACAGTCAACCTTCACGGTCGACCGCACTGTAGCACGGTCGACCGTGGCGGTCGACCGCACTGTAGCAGCGTGCACAAGGAATTTTCAGGTTTTGACAGATTCTGAAAATTTGCGTATCTGATTTTGTAAAATCAATTAAAAATAGTAAATCAACTCCAAAAATCATGAAATTTTGAAGGAATGTTCTAGACATAAGATGAACATGTTAGAGAAAGAATTTCTGAAAAATCACTTTCCAGTTGAGAGAAATAAATATTTGAACACAGATAAACGGTTTCTAAAAAAATGCTGAAAACTCGGTTTTCTAAATTCAATTGAAAATAACAAAACAACTCCAAAATTTGTAAAACTTGGGGAAATGTTTGTATGTATGATAATAAACATGTAAATAAAGAAAATTTTCAAATCGCATTTTCCAATTGTGAAAACGTATCAGTTTTGTAAAAACATGCACGAACATGTGCACAAACATGAGCTAATTAAAAACTTGATTTTGTAAATTCAAATAAACATAACAAATTAATTCCAAAATTAATAAAACTTTAGAAAACATTTATAAACATGAAATTGAACATGTTAGAAAAATAATTTCTCAAATTGAGTTTCCCATTTGTGAAAACTTATTTATTTTGCAAGTGTGTCCAAAACATAAAAATATGATATACATGAAATTTAATATTTTGACATAAATAATGTTTTGAAACCCTATGAAATGATTTTATAGACTTAATAAAATATGTATACAATAATTTTTAAGTTTATAAACCAAAACTTGTGTATATATATATAACTATATATATAAAAACCAAATATGTGTGTGTATATGTGATTGAGCTTAAAGTACTAACACACATAATATAAAACCTAAACTAAATATACCCAAGCTTGATTGATCTTCGATGTAGCTCAACTTGGTACACTTGCGGATGAAGCTAGAACTTGGATCTTTAATTTGAATTGCATAAGCTTCACTCCACTATTCCTCCAACCTTCATTGGATTTGATCGTTGAAGCTCTATTCCATCCATCCTCCAACTCGTTGTTTGTCTAGAATAAATACAAAAATACAAACACTAGATAAACAATATTAGAAGTAAATTATTTGTTAAACATCATCAAAACAAGAAGGCCAACATTGTCCATTGAACGTACCCAAGGCAAAATGCTTGAAGTTGGAACGGTTTCAATTGGAAGTCGCGGAGGCTCGAGAAAGTCTAGTTGATTCAGAGTCTTTAAAGGAGCAGGCTTTGAAGGGTGCTACTAAAGCATGTGAAACCGAGATGGCTCAGTGTGTTGAATGAGTCAGATCCTTGTGTTGCCAATGATCTTAGCGTATTTGCATGTTATGTCGTTCATTTTTGTAATGACTTAGTTTTCTTTTGGCAATACAGACTTAGTTCTCTTTTGGCAATAAAGAACTTTTTACTTTTGGATTTGAATGATACATGTTTAATATTAACATATCGTATGCAATTTAGAATTACAAATGACCCAGAGTGCAAGTTGAGTTATAAGATTCAACTTGCCTCTATGAAAAGAGGAATTATCAAATGTGTAGTACTAACCAGTCGACAGAATCATATTGATAAGGTATTAACATATAAGAATCAGCACTATTCGGAGGTGTAATATTAACATGATAGTACTGAAAGAATTAGATAGAAATTGTGTCATATGGAATAATTGATAGAGGTGTAATGTTAACCGGTAGGGTTCAAGGGAGTTTAAGGGATGGAAGTGTGGTGTTAACTTAACAGTATGAAAAATCGATGAAATGTAATACCAACGAATCGATTTTAAAAATGTTAACC